AAGCTGAAGTAGAGAAGAAATTGCTAGGTGCCCTTAATATTCACTGAATATAACCTGGCCTGTTTAACATAACAATTAAGCTATATGGTTATATCTCTCATTTTTCCTCTTAGCCATAGAGGACATATTATCATACTAAGCTTCAGATTTAACTCTCAGGGCTCAGGTAGGAATTTTCCTTTTCTGAGTCCCCTGAAACTTGATCAATTGGTTCTTTGCTCCCCAGATTCTACCAGCATCTGTTTAGCAAGTTTCCCTACCTAGACCCTTTTCATCTTAAAAACATTCCTATGAAACCATTTGTTTTGATTGGCTAACATTCTTTTTTGGTTTCACATGTCAGCCCAACTCACATGTATCAGAGTATCATCCTTCTTGGAACAAATTTCTTTTTTCTCTTTTCCCACTTTGCCTCCTTGGTTTCCAAGATACATTTCTAACTGTCTTCTTTCCTCTTTAACCTCTTCTTCTTTGACCTTTTCTGTCACTATTTAAGCATTGCTTAGTCTCTCCTATCTTAAAATTTTAAAAATGGACAAAGGGATGGGACTAACTGATGAACAAATAAAAAAAATCTCAGAATCCCGTATTCCCATCTAGCTTTGTCCTGTTGTTCTTTCTATACATTTCACTCACTCCTCAGTCTACTCCACTGTGGCTTGCACCCCCTACCATTGACCGAAAGTGTTCTTGCCGATGTCACTGTTGACCTCCATTTTATTATAATATTAACACTTTTTAGTCCTTGTCTTACTTGACTGCCTAGTAGTGTTGAGCTAGAAGTTGCCTCTCACCTTGGCTCTGTGACATGACACTTCCCTGACTTTCCTTCTCTCTCTCTCTCTCTCTCTCTCTCTCTGTCTTTTACAGGCTCTTCCTCTTCTACCCAAGGGTTTCTCACAGTTCAGTCTTAGGTATTCTTCTCATTTTATGCTGTACTCTCTCTGTGTATGCTGCTGATCCCCAAATCCATATGGCCAACCCTTACCTCTCTTCTGGGCTCAAGACCCAATGTGCCCATATTGCATCTCCACTTGACTCTCTCACAGGCTCAAACTAAACATTTCCGAAACTGAAGTAATCTTCTCCAACTCAAATCTACTTCTCACAATTTTGGATATTATAAATTATGATCTCATTTGTTCTGGGAAATGTATTTCTATTTAATTTTAAAGAATTTACTTTTTATATGTGTTTGATGTTTCTGTTCATGGTA